GTTTGCATACAGGAAAAAATTATACCGATAATATCTGGTTTCATTATTCGCGTGAGGCAAATGAAAACGATTTAGACGAAACGAGAAAAAAAAACACAAAAAGGGACAGTACTAGGAGGCTATTTTAAAGTTCGCGCATAACATCGGCATTTGTAGTGAAAAAATTGCACGAAGCCTACATACATACACCTAAGCTAATCAGTCGTACTCATCTCTCGTATAACGTTAGAAGTTTTAATTTTATATATAAAAGGAAAAAAAAGAAAAGAAAAACTAATTCTGAAATATTTAATAGTCATGGTTAGCAGAGTTATATAAATAATGCCTGTGATAATAGTATCGTCAGGATAAGTTGTGTCCTTAAAGAGTCTCTGATGTTGTTGCTAGGTAAATATTGATTAGAGGTGTATCAATGCGAGATACCATTGGTTGCCGCCTGCGGGGTGTTTTTACAAGCACAATAACGCCTGTTGCAGAGCGGGCCATCAATCGTCTCTGATGATACGCGTTAAATATAAAAAGAAGATATTCAAAATAAAGAGAGAACATGTTGCAAAATTTTTGCCATTCATATTAAAAAGAAAAAAAAACTCATAGTGTAACGAATGGATGACCATTAACGAGAGGGTCTTTTACCTCACAAAATTATTATATTACGCTCACCTTATATATACTTGAATATTTTAGTATAGATTTACTCTTTACATATTTTTATCTCTGTGGAAGACTACTTGGCTAATTTAGGCCACTGTTGAAATTCACCCCTTATTTGCCTTGATGTTTAAATTACAACAATAATATATAAAAAAGAACGAGAATTACTTGTTACGTAAATGGTAATTGTGATAGATTTTTTGATGATTTTTACAATCTCAAAAGTCTTATTATCCTAATATGTATAGAATTATATAGTCACTCTGTACGTAATAGATAAACTTTGCTTACATTGTTAAACTAATATTAAAAGCTCTCATAACTATCCACACTAAACAGTTTTACAACTGGCAGTGTAAATCGAACATCATATTTCGAGCATTGGATAGGGTTTCTGTGTGTATTACTTTTAGCAGTACTATTTTTATTGCTATACAACTTCCAAGGCCTTTTAGGTGCCACAGGTTCTCCGATATCATTTAAAGCAGAATTATTTCGGTTTACATATTTATCACGGTCGAATTTTCGACGTTGCGTTTGCCGTGGAGTAGAAATTACCATTTCCGTTTCCTTCTGATAATTGTAGAGTTGCCACCTGTTTCATTTAGAAATCGGAGTTAGCGCGCGTTTGTTTCCCGTTAACAAAATTACTTAACGAGACGTGCCGTTTTACAAGCTATGTTTTTACGACACTTGGCAACACGACGAAGACGAATTGCGAGCGCCTCGGGCCGCTCTGGTTTTAATTTCGCGTACGGTTCGCGTGAATTATAAGACACAATACCTGTCAATCTTAAAATATGTCGTGTTACCGATGCGGAATCGTTGCTATATATCACTCACGAATATGTTCCTGATTTTCAAAAGAGGAAAAAAAAGAAAAGAGTCGCATATATTATACAATAAGATAATTACTGCGATGTTCACAAGCATTAACGAGACAGCTACAATTATATAAATAATAGGACTAACATGACACGACATAAAAACTGAATTCTAGCCTACGGTTAATCATAGTCTTCCTAGAATCCTAAAGAAAAAAAAAAGAGTATGACTTCGCTATATTGATTAGGGCATGGCCAATTAACACTATATAGCTGGTTGTAAATGAAGGAAAGCGTAATGAAAAGAGTTATCTTACAAATTGCGCTTTCAAATTAACATCTCTACATCATTTTACTGGACATGGCTTATACACTCAAAAGTCCGTGATTAATTTTTTACTTTTTCATGCCTTCAGCATAATTTAAGTTGTATTTATACAAGAGAGAAAAAAAAGAGAGGGTCAACAATCTATGATCAAAAAAAAAAGAGGGAAAGAGGAAAGGAAAATCCGTAGCTCATTATGTCTAAGCGTTCCGCGTTATTTTTGTAATAATATTTTTATTCCTTACTCTCATATATATGTATATATATATATGATCCGTCTTACACACATATATATATATTTAATTTTTACCCTTACGCAAGCGTTATGTGTTCGATTGGCTGTTTCCGACGCTATTATAGCGTACTTATTTGAATACACTAGATCACAAGTTTTTCCACGGCAGTTACTGCCAGGGAATACGTGGTACGAGCTTGCTATATATTTTTTTATCTATTACGTTTTTATTCGGGCAATCCGGGAAAGCGGAGTTGCTTCTCAAACATGTATTTATATTATTTATATATTGTTTTGTTTAATTGGTTTTATGAATTTCTCGCCACAGTTACGTATCTTATTTGAGAAAATAGGATGTTGTCGACCGCTTTCTATTATACAATTCATTTCATTTTAATTGTGTTCTTTTCAGATACACACATACGCAGGTTTATCGTCTTCGCTTTAATTTTTACGTTTAATTTTTGTTGCCAATATTTTGTACCCCCCCCCCCCCTTTGTTTCAAATACTCAACCTGAGGTGGGATGACAAGGAATTCTATACAGCTTGTCGTACTACCTCGTGGAGAAAAGGTAGAAAAAAAGCGATTAGTTCGTAATGAGTATTGATGTCGATTCTACTTTAACGATTTAACTGCATTCCAAATCGATCATTTTATTTGTCACCTTGCTAGATAGAAAAGTTAAATTCTTTAGTGCCAAAACAGACTAATCAGAGTATTTATAGAACATGTATATTATTGCTTACGATTTGTTTTATTCCTTATAAGTTTATTTTATTCGTCTTTTTTTTTAAGTTCGCATCGTGCGCGGATGTCGAAGTTCTTAGAGTAAGAAGACAAAAAACATTACGATTAAATCCTTGCTTAGTCAGTTAAAGTACAAATATTTAATATATATATATATAAATATATATATATATATTCTATCTTTAGAGAATAAGTAACGCGAATGGCATGTTAATGGCGTATATACTGTTACTTGGTTTCATTCCTCAAACAGCACTAGCTTTATTTATTTTGCATTACTTTACTTGATGTAATACTTAACAGGCTGAGAGAAAGGGTAAAGAAAAACGCTTTCGCCATCGCCCTATACACGTGTAATATTTATTTTTGGATATTATCACACGTTCCTTTTTGGAGGTACTTTGTTTACATATCAAATTGACCACTAAAAAAGAAACTCACGTTACATACAGTTGCATTCCAACCCCGGTATGCTGAAGAGCGTCAACTTGTGTCGAGTAGCATACCCTCGAATATATCCGTTCGGTGATCTCCGTGTTTCCACTTACTTTTAAGTAGTGATCGCGAGGCTGACTGAGAGAAACTTTTTACGGTAAAGCGACATTTTTGAAATCCGTAAAGCTTCTTGCTAGCTCACTTGCGGCTCATTTGCGGCTTGTCGCGTAATCGAGAACAAGCGTCTATCGTCTACATCGAGCGGTTGTGCTTTACCGAAAGTTAAGCCTGGCTCCGTCACGTTTCTCTATACGCAAAATTAGTTCTAGCGTTTCTCTCAAATCTATCTAAATAACACACTAAGTAATATGTACTATGTATATCTGAAATGAACTTTCTAACGACTCAACCTATGTTGTACACATACAAATATTGTAACAGCTGTCCTGAATCGATAATGCGGATTACTGTATGTAAACCATGTTTTCCTGAGACCTCCATTGGTATTTTGCATAGAACGAGCTATTTCTGGGGAAAGAGAAAAAGTAAAGATCTTAAATGTTCCGACATCACACTTATACTTCAAAATGTAAACTGTATAAGAATAGTACAACTGACGAAAAAAAAAGAGGTAAATTGTAATGCAATATGGAAAGCGTGTATACCAATATATTTTTTATATGCTAATGGGATGCCAAGGAGCATGGTCATCTTGTAATGTAACGTATTATTTAGAGTTATACACGTCCAGAGATCGACTGTGTACACACAAATCAGTTCCCTTTGAGACTACTCAGCCTTTGTATTAAACACCCCCTTCCACCCCATCGTCGGACTACTTGAATTTCGAAGTATTTCAGATATGTATCTATATATCTCTCTTAGTTTACGAGTTTTACGGTTTTTAATCTTCCAAAGTTTGTCAAGACTAGTCCCCGAAATATCTGTAACGCAGATCTAACTCTATTACTTTTTTTCCTTTTTATTTACCGCAAATCAGCTTTTTTTCTATCTTGTACCAAATTTTAGTTTCATTTTTATATAAAATATTCAAATTTATGGTATTATACGTATACACATCTATATACACTTTTACAAAAAAAAAAAAGAAAAATATTTTAATCTACATACTGTATTACATAATTAAAGATACGGAACATTTGCTACTTATATATTTGTCAAATGTATTATATTGAAAATATTTTATTATAGGATGGACAGATTTAGCCTTAAAGAAAAAGATAAATGTTCTCTGTTGATCGTACATTGCTTCATCATATCAACTCAATTTTGCCATTACCTGTCAATTCATGTGTACTGTCCTATACTAAGATATTCTCAAATGATATCACTATGCAGTTATTTGAAACGTGTAGAAGTATACATTCTTGTCTGCGCATAGGCTGCAATGCAATAATAATATATTGTGATGCTCACAAAGCACATAAACACATTTTACCAAAATTGTAATGTTTAAATATTTCATGTGATTTTGGAAACTGTTATATATTTTTTATTTCCTGCCAATTGTTTAATTTGTAATGTTGTTCTTTGTTCTTTTTCAATAAAGTAATCAACTGAATGTCAAATTCTTTTTATTCACTGGTAATCACCTCGGATCGCGATTTCATTTGTGCGAAACGACCTGGGATACTTGGCTCAATTTTTTTTTATACGATATATTCATATTTATATATATTTTATGTGATCTAGCAATTGTTATCGATACTTACATGATAAAAGCGACAATTCGATGCGGGCCTAATGACAGAGAAAAATTTTCTTAAACATCTTTATTCGGGAAGATACATCTATACATGCAGATCGTCCTGTATTTTGGAGATATATAACATATTTATTCGGAGTCCGAATCCTTTCTACCGTACTGCTGTTTCGGCAACTCGTTCTGTAACTCGAGAACGTGTTCTATCGGCTCTGGTTTTCCATCGTCGCCGATGCGGCAAGGACGCACGACTCCCTCCCTAAGCAACGACGTTATCTCGATATATATATTTTTTTATACATATAGGAAAATATATTATCATTATGGCGTTTGCGGCTGGCAATATATGGCTGGTTTACACGATGATGTTATATAAATATACGAAAAGACGACAGCTTTTATTTAGCATTAGATCTCGATATGATTGTGTATCTTTACGCATATCTTTGATCTGTGACGAATAAATAAAGTCTCAATATATACGCACCTTGTCAATTTATCAACAAGATTCACTAGTTTTAAAGCTTCGAATTCCTTTTGCTCCTCCGTCATGCCTTCAAATGGATTTGGCTTGGGATGCTCGAAACACCCAGTTACTGGGTTTATCCTTGGAAAAAAACCGCCTCCGTTTATAAGACCTCTCATTTCGTTCTTAAGGCTATTTCTCGTCGATTACTCACTGCTCCTTATACTTCTGATATTCTTCCGTTTCGCTATCCTCCGACTCGGAAGAATAAACCGTTTTCGTCTGGCCACGACCTAATAACCCTTTAGCAGCGAACATTCCTGCCGCATTTCCATATCCCGTATATTTCACCATGCGATTAACTGCAAATAATAACGATAACCTTGTTAGTCCTAGATAAAATTATGTCACTTGTCTTATTTTAACATAGTAAATAAATACCATTTTCTTTACAAAGAACGAACAAAAATTCTGAAACTAGATTGTGCAACTCTGTGATCGGTGATGTTAAGAATTTGCATAACTTGGCCCTCAACGTTGTCCCTTCTTCAGGACGATGCATTACGTCCTTTAATGGAGGTAGAATCTAAAAAATGCATTCATATGATTTCAGTGTTTTCGACCCTCCTTTGGGAACGGATAAAAATCATTTATTCAAATCGTTTTTTCTTTGCCAAGTCGATGTAGAGTTTCAATGAAAAACTTTATTATAAAAATAACTATTTTACCTGCAATCTTAGGTATTTGCGAATAATTCGCTCTGATTTGACGAGTCTGACCAGCGTAGTAAGTATTGGCGAAATGTTTTCTTTTAGATGCGTTTTACACTCTAATCTCTTATCTAAAAACCTAAGTAACACGCATACAGCACTCATATCCATATTTTGGTATACATCTTTACAGTCGTTGCCCTCAGCGGCCGGTACAATTGGCGCATAACAGCTATACGGTATCACGGTCAGCAGGTTGACAACATTGCTGAAACACGATGACAGATGTAACGCCTTTCCTCCGATGCTAAAGTCGTAATAAGATATCACGAATATGTTTTACCTTTCAAGATCGTCTGGCTGCCCTAAATATTTAAGAGTTAACAATTTATACAGAATTAACACCAGATTCTTACATCTCTCTTGGTCCTCAATGCTGACATCATCCGAGTGCATGTAAAAATTAAATAGAATTTTTAAAACTTCGCAGACTAACGTCGTATCCTCGGCCTAAAAAGTGACGAGAAAATTGAATTATTTTTAGATTTCAGACAGAAACAACGAATGATACAACAAATCTCTTTACCTTAGTTACACGCGTCACGTTGTTCTGATTTTGCGTTGCAAATTCCTCTATTATTTTAGTAAGACATGCTTCACCGCACAAATCAGTTTTGACTGTGTCTATGACGGATGTGTTTAGTGCAGTGAGCAAGAACAGTATTCTCATGTCAAACAACTTGACATCACCGGGAACATCAGCCGTGTAACTTTTAATCCGATCGATGAGATAAGGCAAAGAAGATATTACTACTTTCGAGCGTTGCACTTTTACGCTATTAAATATTAAGTTGGACAGCAGCTTTAGTGATTCTGCCGTAACTGCAACGAGAAGCACTCGTATATTTCAATATATGCACCAATATACAACACAGAAGTATAAATGCACATGGAGATTCCGCCTTAGATGTATATTTATACGAGTTTAGACAAAAGAAATTCATTCCCCAATCGTTCTTACCGATTGTACACGAGATTTGTTCCCCTTCGCATATTTGTGTCAAGCCTGCATTCTGTAATATGATCTTTATTGCATCCTCAGTGATTAAAGCATTTAACTTGGCTTTATCGCGGCTGAAACATAGAAATATATAAATATAGCGTTCATAAATTAAATATGTGTATTTCAATCTATATCCTGCGAACACCGAGCATCAGTTACATTGCATTTGTGTTACATCAACATTGTTGAGTGAGAAATTTTAACATAAATGCAATGTAACTGATGCCTTGGTGTTTACTGAATATCGCTGTCTCCAAGCCACTTCGTACGACTAAAATAAGTGTGTAACATTTGAATTATATTATTTTCACTAATTTTCCTATCTTTCATTTATCGAGCAATGTACTTTCAATGATAATTTTTTGTGAAATGCGTGTAAGTTACCTGAGTATCCTCAAAGCTGCCAAGCAATGATGATGTTGGTCTATATGAACATAATCCGTTAAATAATAAAATAATCTGTTCCATAACTTCTCTCGCAAACAGGTACTATCCAGCTCTTGAAAACTGGTCTTTTTATCATACTAAAACATCAATTGCATAATATTAATACGTCATTCAGTTTCTAAGAAAGTAAATAAAGGGAATGTTTCTCTGCATGTGTAAATATAGTGAGTTAATTGGAATTTTTTAAATATCGACTGCTTATTTTGTAATACATTTTTATATGCTGATGTTAAAAGGGCAAAAATTAAATAGTTAATAGCTTTTCAAAGGGGCAAGTAAAAAAATTGGAAATAATTCGTCATAGTGTGGCACGTTATTAATGTAAAATTAAAATTTCACAACGTTAGCACCAATCTGATGTCTATCCAATATATCCTTAATAAAGAGTCCTAATGAGTCTCTAGACTTACAACTTTTAGAAACACAACAATATTTATACAGAATTCCTCATATGTGCCGGAGATTAATTTCGAAATCAACTCGTCCGTGTTAATCGTCTCCATCTTCAACTTTTGTTTAACGTCAAGTGTCTTTAAGTTGCGTTACATATTTAATCTCATAACACCGGACGTGATAGCAGGTCGCTCCGCATCGATCCCAGCTCGACGAAGTTTGACAGCTGGTCTTTTTTTTTCTCAACTCTTATTGGACGGGCAGGGAACACACATCGGTGAAGAGATGCTCACGCTGCGTGTATATCCGCCATGCATCCAGTGTCCCGTTCACGCAACCGGTTATTTGATGCGTCTTGGAACGCAGTTTTCGAGATAAACCACTTTCTCGGTGAGTTTTGGAATGTGCAGGCGTCGTCTTTATTCGGCTTTTTTTCCGCAGACTTCTATACGATCGTTACATTCTTGGAAATTTAAATATTGGAGTTTTCGAGATTCTTGATTTTCACGATTTGCAGCTTGAAATTCTCGGAATTTCAATTCTTGGAAATGGTTGACAAATTCTTGGAAATTTAGATAGTGCCACCTCTTCGCCAATCATGTTCTCCTGATACTTCGTCAGTTTTCGGGATTCTCGATTTTCGCGATTTGAAGTTTGCAATTCTCGGAATACCAATTCTTGGAAATTAGATAGTGCCACCTCTTTGCCGATCCTGTTCTCCTGATACTTTTTCGGTTTTCCGGATTCTCGAAAAATTCTTGGAAATTTTGACAATGCCACCTCTTTACCAATCATGTTCTCCTGTTCTCCTAATACTTTTTCGGTTTTCCGGATTCTCGAAAAATTCTTGGAAATTT